GCTAAGAGCCCAGCTAACTAACTGTCTTCCTCACAGACTCCGGTGAACCCGTTTGCCCAGGACCAGAACCAGAACATTCTATCTTTAGATTGTATTCAATAAACTCTGTTAACTTTTCATCTGTTTCCTGTGTCGTGGTGTTCTGCATAATTGGGTCACATTCGTGTACCGATCATGACAGTCAGACGTTTTTGAATGTAGGGTTTTACCACACAGAGATTAATGCTGAGTTTGAATCAGAAAATGTTTTCCTTTTGACAGTTTTTTGTATTTTCTTTACAAAAAAATACATATATATTAATTGGTTCTGCAATACTGGAGTAAAACCTAATTGATTTATGTTATTATTAATCCAGGGATGATTCTTAGAAAAGATAAGGTGGTTCTGGAATCTAGGAATGAGTTAACCTCATTAAAATCCTGTATTAGTATGTGTGTCGTGGCTCACTTACTCCAGCTGTCCACAACTTTAAATCTTAAATTAACCTTGCTTTGCAAAAATATCATGGCTACAGTAATTGTGGTTGCATTTTCTTTCTTCATCTCAACTTTCTATCTTGTGAATAGCCAACGTCTTTAGCACTGCCCTTTTATGGCTTAGCAATAATGTTTTTGTTAGTAATAGTCAAAACAGTAGATTTCCTTAAGATTTTGTAAACTCTAGCACTACAGAGTATATATATATAATATAATAATATAATGTAAATATTTTCTTTTGAATTTAATAAGAAATGGGTCATTTTGTATTTCTTACTATTTATCATAATTAAAATGTAACTTTCAGTTTCATTGAAAACATTGTGATTTCTCACCATCTGTGAGGTCCTACAGCAAGTCTGATGAAAATGTAAGCCATGTGCAACCAGCTCTCATTTCACTAACACCCAATGAGCAAGTGAGTGCAAAGGCATGTGCATGTGTGGGTGGTGGGCGCCGTTAGGCTCTGTGTGTCTGCAAATGGAATAAATGCACCATAGTTTCAAACTCACCATGAAGAGGAAGCGGAAGTTGGCCAGCTCTCCGAAGAAATCCTCCACACTGACTGAGTGGGGGTCGAATGCGAAGTAGTTGCCTATGCTCTCGTAAAGCTTCTGCATGTTCTTGTGCATGATGGACAGCTTTTCATACTGCTCCCGAGAATGTTTGGAAAAGCCGTGAGAAAGAGGGAGTCAAGGAAAATGGAAAACAGAATGTCTCAAACACAGAAAACATTACAACGCTACAGTAATCAACGAAAGCAAGCAAATGTCATGTTAAAATTATTATGATGACAAGCTTTATAGTATTTTTAAGACCAACATAAGTCAAGGTCAACAGAACAAAGCAGAAAATGGATAAAGGAGGATCTCCATCTCACTTTGGAGTCAATGACATGGAGAGCTAATAGCTGCAGCCCTGAAGTAATGGAAAGGTGTTTTGTAGGCAGCAGTATGACACAGATGGTTGCTGGAAAAGCTGATTGCAGTCATTGTTCTATTGTTTCGCACAACAACAGTGGGGTCAGGTTGTTTTGAACCTCACAGCTCACGTCGTACTGTGTAATTTACTGAACAGGCGGAGGACTTTTCTCCCGGTGAATGAGTATTGACAGGCGGCATCAGTTAAGCATTATCACAGCAGCCATTGACCTCATGGAGACCGCACTTGGGCACTACAAGACTCCCGCCCAGAGTAGGATGAGGATGATGCAGCATGGATTTATGTGAACACAAATGCTTGCACAACATGTAGTTACACCAAACTAAAAAAATAAAAATAAGACCTTGAGAAGGAATTCTTTATAGGTAGCATCTAATAAAAGCAGCTTATTCAACAATTTACTTATACTGTATCTTTTAAAAAGATGTTTAAAAAGGCTCAATGGCAAAATAGTTTTTAATAAAGCTGGTCAAAACTCATTAATCAATTTTGATTTCAATTTGCTGTTATAGATGGTAATAAAAGTGGCACTGGTATTTTTTTGTGAAAAATTATAATCCATGATTGTTAATTCATATAACATAATTTAATTAAGAATCAGAGTGTCAATTACTATTCAAACTACAGTAGGATTATGCTACCGTCATCAATAAAATATTACAACTCATTCTAGGACTTTTTATAGATTATATAAGAAAATCTGAGCATTGTGAACGGTGTACTGAAGTTATTCCCTGAGAAGAAGGTGCAACTCACACACGCAATAACAGGAAACAAGACAACATAACTTCCTAAACACTTACTTGCATCGAGAGCAAAACTCATCCTGCCTCCATAATCATCAAACATGAGTGAGGTGAAAAGCTAAGAGCACTTATAACCAGAGTGCACACTTATAGTAACACACAGCTTATGTGCTGGCACAGTCAAATTAAGCTAGAGGACAGTCTGAAGGTATGCTATACCTCAGACGGCAAGGTATAAAATGAGTTCTTTTTCATTTCTTTGTCATTGGCTGGTAGCAGATCCGATAGGAAAACTACAGATATGTAAATATACTTTATCATACCAACAGAAACTCTTTATGGTGCTAGAAGAAATCTAGTATAGATGGTGAGATTCCATCTTCTTCTGTATAACAACTAATAAAACTTCTTTAAGGAGAGAGTGACCAGACTTCTATACTCTAAGTGAACCTTACCCACCATTAGAATTAAAAACTATAAAAAAAAAAAAAAAAATCTTCTTACTCAGATATAATGAGAGTGTTTTATGTCAATTAAAAAAGACACTTTATTAGATTTTTGGGTAAAAAACATAAGCAACCTTAAAGGGTTGACTGTCAAGTCAAATGTTCATTTTTGGACTGAGCATATGTTTTAACTGAAACGCTCTAAGGGATCTCCTCGATCAATGAAAGTAAAAAAAATGTGCTTAAAGAAAATAATGTGTCATCAGTTTTTATAAGGTTCTTACATCAACAGTAGTGATGTTTTTTTTTGCCCTTAGGTCCTCTAATAATTCATCTCAGTAGCTATAATCTTTGATGCACAGAATGTATCCTATATCTAGAAGTAAGATGGAAAAACCTCTATTGGTTAGTATTCTGCTACAGCACTCATTAGATGAATATTTTTGAGCTACACATCATGTTAAACATTTATGCACAATTAATGAATCTATTTATTAATTCAACAGGGTAAATTCTTGCATCACTCGAAGGTATACCCTCAAATTTTAATTACTCCCTACAACGTTCGTCATTACAGCAAATCTCAGAAACGCATCATGGTTAAAACACCATATTTAACATTTAAGGAACCACAGTATACATTGTATGCTATTCTTTCCTCACAGTCTAACATGTCGCCTACATTGTGAAAGTATGAGGAAATGTAAATATATAGACAATCTACAAGACATTGTAGAAAAATTTTGCAAAGCTGAGTGGGGCAAAACTCCTGCACAGCGCCTTTACAGACTCACTGCAAGTAATCACAAATGCTTGATTGCAGTTGTTGCTGCCAAGGGTGGCCCAACCAGTTATTAGGTTTAAGGGGCAATCGCTTTTTAAAGAATAGATCTTGATTTTTTTTTTTTTTCCTTAATGATGAAAACATCTTAACTGCAAAACTTAACTTTCTGTTTAATGTTCTTAAGCACTTAACTGTGACCAACATGCATAAAATAAGGAATCAAACAAGGGGGGCAAAAAACCTTTTCTCACCACTGAATGTCCAGAGCTGTAAGGGTTTTTGCCCCCTACGACTTAATTCTGCCTTTGATTTAATGATTGAAATTATCAAACACATTTCAATGTTAAACAAACATAACCAAGATCCCTTACAGAACCTGTGTGACAACAACAGGTAGACTGATAGCTCAAAATACAAGACAATCATGGTATGATTGAAAGAAATTCAAGAAGATATGAAAAACCAAGTCATTTATAGATTTGAAAGGATAAAATAATTCTAAGGTTCCTTGGGTAACTATAAAAGCTGTATATAAGTAAAAAAAAAAAAAAAAAAAAAGAAGAAGAATGGTGACCTTTCCCAGGAGTGGCCAGATCTCCAAAATCTGTCGAGAGCGCATTGATAACTAATCAAACAGGTTATTGAGGACCAAGGCAATCCATGCCATAAAATCTCCAAACACTGCTGGATTAAAATTATTCCACAAAATTATTTTTACTACCTTGGTGAGGGGTATAGGGGATTACATTTTCACATAGTGGCAGGTTGATTGGGATAGCTGTCTTTAAGAAAAAAATGTCAAACTATATTGCATCTGCTGATCTACAGCATTTACAGTATACAAAAAACTAATAATAATAAAAAAAAAAAGAAATCTTTGGGGAGGAAATACTGGTCACTGTCCTGTCGGTGCACATCTATTACCATAATAAAGAGATTAAATAACTGATAAAAGTTCAGAAAAATAAGGTTTGATTATGAGCAAGACATAATCTGTGTGAATGTTTCTCTTGCTAAAAACAGATTTTCTTTTATCAATTTTAAAGTAATTTTAAAGAAAAGTGTAGCTATACAAATCTTTGGTTCTGCCTACACTTTCTATTTTTCAATGATGAGTGTACATGCTACAGAACTTAGTTTCTATTATCTTACATTTGATCTACAAATGATAATGCTGATAAAAATAAAACCACATTACAATCAAAGCGGCTTCATTAGGACTAGATTTTTGCCATCTCCAACTTTTCAGTGCAGTCAGTAAAGCACCTCTTGCTGATATAAGGTGCAAATCAAGTACTGTGCATTTCTCAAGGCAGTATTAGCCATAACAACCAGAAAGAAAAGTCCTGGAAGTACCTGCAAACTAAATAGCAAATAAATGATGAGAAACAATGAATGTAAAAGACTAACAAGACAGAGTTTATCTAATTAAAGGAGTTTGTCTTTTTTATACATTTTCCACTGTAATCCAATATAAACTGGCCCTGCTGCCATCAACTGATTAATAAAGGCCATATTTTGATAACGATTTGCTGCCTTAAGTTAATCTTACTAAGGTGGCAGCTCCCAAATCTTTAGAGTCGTGGGTGCGGTTAAAGACAATTAGTGTTTTTTTTTTTGCTGTTACCTTGGCAACAAGCAGGGATTTGTTAGAAGAGCATGTGGCCTATCATTATCATGGCCAAATGGTTATAAAGATAATATTATTTTTGAATTCTACCATTATTATGTGGAGGCGATAGTTTTCTAACAAATCTGGCCATTTACTGTCTGTCTGTTCTGCAAGTTTAAAACACGTGTCAATGGGAACAATGGGAATGCAGGATTTTTTTAATTCTCCAGACGTGTAACACGTCATGTCCTCTGTGAGGTCGGGAGTAAAACACGTTTATAGCTTTGATAAAAAAAAAAACAGTTATAAACAGAGATTTTGGAAAGAGTTGTTTTCATGTGGAGAAGAAGTCAGAGTAAATTTGTTGGATTTAATTTTTTTGTAAAGAATACAGTTGAACAATCAGAACATCGGGGCAGAGAATGGACCTCTGTCTCTATTCATATGTGCCTGGACACGATTTACCCCCATTGCTGCTGTCAGACTGCTATCTCTTCCTCTATACACCTCCTGCAATCTTCTTTTTTTTTGAGAGTCCCAGTGGATGGATGTGAAAGTAAAACTTTGCCAAAGTAATATTTCTTTTCAACATCAAAAGAACTCTTGACTGGAGTCATGTTTCTAGGATGTAGATATTTCTAGGATGTAGAATACAGTTTGCTAGAAAGATAGAGCCTTGTAAAATTGTGATAAAATTTAGTTTTAAGGTTAACGCTTAGGAGATGGATTTCCAGCTTACAAAAAAATCACTAAACATAAAAAGCTTGTCTTAACAATGTCAAAGAAATGTTGATCAATACCAACAACGTAGTGCTACAACTTAATGGTTACAGAAAGCTTATCACCCCTGTGGTTTAGGGAAGGAAAGGAATTACTTTATCCATTTGGAGAAAAAAAAAAGAGCAATTACTGTAAAATAGTAGGTTGAATGTGTGATTTTCTGCAACTTTTTTGTGTTTTCTTTTCATTCACTCTGCTACGGTGTACCTCACAGCTCTCATGGGGCCTCATATTGTTTATGCTTTATATGCCTTCTCTTCGGTGCATTCGAGCTTTGGGAACTGTTACACACAGTATTTAAATACACATTAACTTTTAGCAACTATATTTCTAGGGTACATGTTTTTCACGGCTATAAACCTTCAAT